TCACAGTCTGTTTCAGGCATGGTAACTCAGCCTTTCTAAATTTAACGATCTTTGCCCACCATTGGGGTCCTAGCTTTCTTTTCGTGAAAATGCATGTGACTCAAATGAAATAGCATCGTGTTTCTCATGTGATGTCTAAAAGTCAGTGAGTGCTCAATAGCTATTAACCTGACAAACGTCTTCTTTGAGATCTTTTGTGTTTGCATAGGGTTGGAAGTCAGGGGACAGGAAAAAAGGGAATAGCCTTGAAAGACAGACCGTGCAGTCCCTGTAAAATACAGCAAGTGACAACAGCAGGGACCAGCCAGGATTCAGTTCAGGCTGTGTCTCTTGCTGAAGACTCAGCCCTGATGTTTGCAGACAAGGAAATCCTAAAACTGCAAATATCATACAGAAGCAAATGTGGCCTTTGTGCATGTCTTCTGGGCTGTTTTCTGAGAAGTGTTGTTTTGTGTTTCAGCTTGCCACCACCACTCCGTTCCCCAGCCTCTGGAATGTGCCTTTCATGGCAGAGAGCCTGAATTGTTACCTGGGAGATCAAGATGTCCTTGGCTCAGAGATGCTGACTTTGCCGAACAGCTGGAAGGGGTTACCATCCATGGGCTCTCATGTTCAAGGGCAGTTCAGACACAGTTCAGGCATTTAGGGAGTCAAGGAAACCAACAGACCCAAGGTCATTTGTCTGTCTCTCCTTCTCATTCAAGGTTTCTATTTATTTAAAATACGTTCTAAACAACAAGTTCTCAAAAGACCATAGAGCTATTATGGTATTTGGCGATATAACTGTGACCCTGGAAGACTTTCTATAGAGAGTTAATGTGTGTTTAATGACATAGTATTAAATGATTTTCTATTCTAGCTCTTATCCCTGTGAAACTGTGTGGCTGTTACTCATATGGGTAGCCTTTGGCTTTGCCATTTGCAGACTATGCGGTGCCTCTTTTGAACTGGCTCCAATAATGGCTCATGGCTTTTAGGAAATGGCTATTCCATGTTCCTGACATCTTTATCATCCTGGTGTCTCTATTATGGCTTAGGCCTTGCTCTTATAGCTTCATACTTAGCCCCCAGAGGTTCCCTGCAGGAAATTTTATCCTGCTACACAGTCCCTGCTGTCTAAGGAAGGCTTTTAAAATCTTGGTAGAAATCTCTATGTCCTTATCACCCTTGTACTCTGTCTGACGGCAAAACCATGATGCCTGAGTATGCCAGCAGCCTAAGCAATAGCTGGATCTCCCAGACCCTGCCTACAATGGCTTCTTATTTTCTGTGTGACTGATACCAGGAAAGTGCTTCCATAGGTGGCCTGGTGTAAGCGGAGCATCTGCTGGCATTCTTGCCTCAAAGAAAAATAAAGTGAGTGCAGAGTTTTACACTCTCATACTTGTAATAGGTGAGGCTTAGTCTATGTGCTGGTTTGAATGAAAAATGCCCCCCACATAGGTTTGGGCATTTAAACACTTGTTCCTCAGTTGGTGGCACCGATTAGTAAGATCACGGAACCATTAGGAAATGCAGCCTTGTGGAGGAAGTGGGCTTTGATGATTTACAGCCTTGCTTCACTTCCAATTTGCTTTCTGCATATGACTATGATGTGATCCTTCAGTTCCTGCTCTAGCCTCCAGCTGCCAAGCTTCCCCACCATTATAGACTTTTCCTCTGGAGACAGAAGCCAAATAAACTCTTTCTTCAATAAGTCACTTTGGATTACAGTCTAACCAGTTTCTTCCCTTCCTTCCTTCCTTCCTTCCTTCCTTCCTTCCTTCCTTCCTTCCTTCCTTCCTTCCTTCCTTATTTCCTTCCTTCCTTCTTTCCTTCCTTCCTTTTTGTTTATTAGTTCTTTGTGAGTTTCATATCATGCACCCCAATCCTACTCAACTCCTCCTTCCCTCACATTTGCCCTCTACCCTTGCAACCTTCCCATCAACACAGGATTTAAAAAATGTTGTTATGGAAGTGTGTTACAGTGTGTCCCACAGTATACTCTTTTGTCCATACCTCTTGGCTTACAAATGTTCATTGCAATGAGTCATTAGTCTTGCATGAGACCTCTGTCTTACTTTGTCAATACTTGAGACCTCACTGGGATTCCTCTAGGGTATCCTGTTATTGGATTGTGTCATAGATATCCAGTAGATTTGGATCTGTAAGACAGGCTGTTTCATGCACTCTAGATGTTGGGGTAGGCCAATTCAATGCCCTGAATATGGGCCTGCGAGGTTTCTGATCTGGTCTGCCTCTGGCCCTCCTGCTCTCACACCCTTGGGGCTAGCTCACCAGCAACCCTTGTCACCAGGGCCAGCTCTATCTTGCTGCCCAGGTGAGGTGCAGGGACCAGTGTCTCAAGTATTATAGTTGGTGTGGCTCATGGCCAGCTCTACTGCCTGCCATAGATAGCAAAGGACAAGGGAGGCAAGGAGGATAGCTCATCCTCATCTACATCATTTCCCAGAAGACAAGACAAAGGGCCAGTTCTCCCACACTGATGACCTTGGGACGAGCTCTTTTGCCTGATATAGGTGGCAAGGGTAGAGAGTTGGAGGGCATTTCTCCCTCCTCCATGTCACAGCACTGCAGAAAAGTTGTTGCAGGGCTGTCCTGCATGCTTTAGATATCAAGGAACTAGAGGGGGCCATCTTTCCATCAGCCATGTCATAGCATTCCAGACAAGTGGCAGGGCCAGTTAGTCCATGCTCAGATTCCAGGGTCTAGCTCATCTGCCACTCCCACAAAGTGTAGGTCCTTTTCTCTCAAGTACTGCAGCTGGCAAGGGGTGGGGTCAGCTTTCTTGCTGTCATGCTCCCAGGGCAAGCTCTCCCAGTTGAGGGGTGGGGCCAGTTATGCACAGCCTTCAGACATCACCATGTCCCCAGGTGGCAGCAGACCAAGGACATCTGCCTGGATTTTGGTGGTAACAGACCCCCGCTACTGAAGGGACACAAACTCAGACATGGCTCCTAATGGCAGCACAGACCAGGACCCTACCACGATCCCAGGTGGCATCACCAGCTACTCACATCAGGCTGTTCCTCACTACCCTCAAATCTCCAGTTCTGCCTCTCTTCATTGTGCCCACATCCTTCTGTTTCTCTTTTACTTCTCCACAACTTATTTGTTCCTCTTAGTGGCATCTGGTGTCTCTGAGTGTTGTCTCCTAGGTTGTCTCAGGAATGGTCTCAGGAATGAGATGCTCTCCTAGTATATTATGGTGCCAGGCAGGGGTCATCTTGGGCATGGTCTGCCCTTCTCCCCAGGTCTGTGAGGCACCAGACAAATGATTATCTCAGGCTAGCTCCCTGTCCAGTATGTGGTGCTGGTCTGGTTGTTGTCTCAGGCTTGCCCCTTGCCCTGCTCACCCAAGTGGCCCCTTACTAGGGTCATCTGTCTCAGGCTCACTGCTGCCCAGGGCCTGGAATCTCAGGCAGAGTCCTTCTAGTCTCTGGCTTGCTCCTCATCCTAGGAGCCCATCCAGACCTGTCTGGTGCCAGACTGGTGGTCATCCCTCTTTGTCTGTGCTTGCTGGTGCTGAACTGGTGGTCATCTCAGGCTCTTTTTTTTCAGGGAATGTTAGGCTACGGATCATTCAGATGTTCGTAGGTCAGAACACTAAGGGTAGGTAGACAGCCTCTCTCCACTCTGCCCACTACTGCCATACATGTGACACACTTGCCACTCCTGTAATGCTTCTAGGATAATGAGTTTCTTATTGCCCCAGTGCAAAGAATTTGGCCTTGATGGTGTTAATCTCTCTGACATCTACACTGTCCTTGCCCACTGCTTGCAATTTGTTCGTTCTCTTTGCCAGCTTTATTGTTTCTCAAAGACTTTTGCTTTGCTTAATTGTATTTTTTAATTTTTTTAAAATCCAACTAGCAATGTGTATGTCATAGCCTACGTGCTATGCTGGCTTGAAATTTTATCTATCTATGTAATCAGTCTATCATAATTAAATTCAGGACACAGAGTTTCAGGACATAGAGAAGATGTAAGCAAAAACTTTGCAGAATGTACCAAGACTAACCTTTCATTTAAGTCCCACTAGAGTCCTTATTTCCATCAGAACAGTCCTTATCATCTGCATGCCTATCAATATTTTGATCTTCTACCATACCTACAAAACTCATTGAACATGGAGATATCACTTGGTGCCTACATGGAGCCCTCACTTCTATGTTCCAGTGTCTTTGGTATATCATCAAAAGAGAAACATAAACACCAGCCCAGCCACAAACCCTTTATCTACAATGGTTTACTACCTGCAAAATATGCTAGGGCAATGGTGGCACAAAGTTTATGGTAGCAACCAACCAACTCACCTGACTTAATGTCTACTCAATGAGATAGAACCCATACCTGAAACTGTTCTGGTAACAAAAGACCTACGGCTTGATAGTCCAGGGATATAGGGCAAAACCAAATAAGACTGGGCAAAGAAAAAGAAGAGGAGGAGGAGAAAGAAAGAAAGAAAGAAAGAAAGAAAGAAAGAAAGAAAGAAAGAAACACAGTAGCAAAATGACTCCTAATAATATTCTGCTAGACTCACAGATCAGTTCCTTGTTCAACCATCATCAGAGAAGCTTCCTCTTACAGCAGATGTGAACAAATACAGAAACCCATAGCTAGACATGTCACAGAGAATGAGATATGTCTCCATCAAATCTTTCCGATCAGAGCTCAGAGAACCCCATGGGAGAGAAGGCAGAAAGGTAGTAAGAACCGGAAGGGATGGAGGACACCAAGAAAACAAGACCCTCTAAATCAACCTGTGCAAAAGTCAAATAAACTCAGAGACCTAAGCAGCTGACATGCTTCATGACATGGGCAACATGAGTCTGCACCAAGCCCTCTGCATTTATAGTATGGCTTCCAGTTTAACGTTTTTACGAGATTCCTGAGAGTATAAACAAGTGGATCTCTGACTCATGCATTCTTCTCTTGGGCTCTTATCCTTCTGCTGGTTTGTCTTGTCCAACTTCTATGTGATAATTTTTGTTTTATCTTATTATGTTTTATTTAGTTATATTTAAAAATAAATGAATTGATGAAAGAAAGAAAGAAAGAAAGAAAGAAAGAAAGAAAGAAAGAAAGAATTTTCTATGGTCAAGTAAGTGTAGACTCCATTGTACAACCTTCCAACAGACAAACAGCCTGCAAACCTGAAGTCCAGAAAGATCTGCTACTTTATTTCTCTCACACGATGGCAACAAATGAGCCAAATTGAAGTGAGGCTGCCAGGTCATTGTTGACCTTAGTATAATTTTTATATGTATTACTGTAAAATATGAGATACTATTGGTGTTGTTGGGGTCTTAATGTACACTTTAGTAAAGATTTGCAATTCTAATTTTAAAAGTGTAAAAAGAGAAAGGGGAGGGAGGGTGGGATCGGGAGGGGAGGAGGGAGGGCTTAAGGGGGATACAAAATGAATAAAGTGTAATTAATAAAAAATTAAAAAAAATGTAAAAAGAGTGAGAACAATTGACTAAAGCCTGATATTGTGTTGTAAACCTGTTTAAAAGATAAATAAACATTATTATTTATGCAGGAAATTTTGTTTTATATGTAGTCTGACACCAACCAATCAGTTCTGGCATTCATCACCAGATCTTCAAGTTAAAGGGCATAGCCTCACTTACACCATTATGCTCACTTTAGACACCAGCTAAAACTGAGTTATGTCACCCACGTGCACGTCTGATAAGTTGGTTCAAATCAAAATTTTTCTGCAGCCTTTCCAGTCCAGTCATTTCTGGAATGATTCCTAGAATTCTGGGAAATGCTTTTTTTATTACAGGGTTGTTGCTGTCATGACCCATCTCAGGAAGAACCAAACAAGAAGCACACAGAGTGATTTCTGGTACCTTCACCCCGTGGAGTCAGAACGTTACCTCTTCCTGAGCCTTAACATGTTCACCAGCTGCAAAACTGCAACAAGCCTCAAGCTTCAGTATCTAGCATTTTCACCAGGGGTTCATTGTATGAGGGGTTCTCTCGTATGAGAGATTAAATCATAAAAGACGTAACCAATTCTCCAGATCCTCCCCTTCTCCAGGCTTCAGGCTGACTTAGAATCTACCCTGCTAATCACATGGCTGTCTCTTTGTTGATCAGGCCCTGTTCTGAAGCTGCCAAGAAGATGCTGACCTTGAGTTAGCTCACTGGTGTGTGGCTCAAGGGACATGTGGAAAATTACATAGTGTCTGCACCTTGGAATATGGACAGACACCAGGCTGATTCTCTACTATGTAGCAACACTGCATTGGTTAACATCATTTAGGACCCAGCAGTTTCTGACTGCTGTCCATTTGTTGATCCTGATTCCTGACAGGAGGAAAAAAAATATCTATGATTTCTTGTGAGGGTTTGCACCTAGTCTTATTGTAAGTTCCTATGCCATATTCAGTTGATATCTTCTGGAGGTCTGTTCTTTTCTGAAGGGAAATGAAAAAGGAGTGGATCTGGGGAGAGGGAAAGTGAGGAGGAGATGAGAGAGGTGAAGGGAGGGGAGACGGCTCAGATGTATTGTATGAGAGAAGAATTTCTTTTGAAAAGGCCTTCCTACCGTTCTCTTTATACTAATCCATATTCTGAGGAATACAAAAGAAGACAAAAGGCTTCCACTGTTCAATAAAGTCAAGATATGCAAGAGCCTTCTTGAGCATCAATTGACTAACAGGGAAAACCTCAGATCTTCTGGAGTTCTGCATCAACACAAATGTGTAGATCTCCAGACTTCGTAGTTGTGATACATTTTGGTACACTAAATGGGTTACAGCCTATTGAGCACATTAACTTTACCTTTCTCATCATAACGTGTATCTCAGTTCCTATGGAACAAGACACAACAGAACTAAGTCTCTACAGTAGTCTTCCTTTACCTCTGATTCCTTTCATGATGCTATACCTGTCCGCATATCACTTTCAATGTCCTCAGAGGGTGGCTCTGATAGACACTATTTTTTAAATTAGCAAACAAACACTGCAACTGAATTGCCTCCTGGGCTAGTTAATTTGACCGGACAAGAACAGTAATCAGTGCTAACTAGGATCCTAAGTCCTTCTAGAACCTTTCTGGTTCTTTAGCTCACATTCACCTCTCCACGTGTTGCCGTCCCAGCAAGGACTTACCAAAAGCCACATCAGATCTGTGCTGTAGACTCCACCACTCACCTTGGGGCTTTATGAGAGTTCATGAGTTAGTCCTGTTCAGGACTGAAAGTTTCATTCATTTCCTGCCCAGCCCCCGGTGTAGCCAGCGACCTCTTCTACAGTTGGAGCTCGGTCCTTCAAGTAGCTGCAGTGTGATTAAAAGTATCACTGTGGTGTGGGGATGTTAAAATGGACACTCCCCTGCAATGGTCTCAGGCCTGCTTTGCTAATGCATTTGTTCTTGCCAGCAAGCATGCCAACCAATGTAATACTGCTCTTTTCATCTGTTTCAGAGAGGATATCACTTCAAGAAGCAATAACATGACATAAATTTGTAGAAAAAAAGCCCCTCTGATAAAATTTGAATGCAATACTGGATTATTTTAAGAACTGAAGATAATCCTGACATACAATTTCTATAAAATGGAGATTTTTAAAAATGCAGACTTGTGGTTTGGGGTTATACTGATTTTATTACATAAATGTTTTATTGTCCTTTAAAAAAAAATCTCCCTAAATCTCTTTGAGCTATACCAGAAATTCAGGGAATTTCAGAGGAATATAATTTAAGAACTCAATCTAGAGTTTGAAAATTATTTTCTTTTTAAAATCTTTTTTGTTAGTTAGACAGTACAGACACTTTTAAAGTTTATTCCAGAGAAACTGTTATGTGAAACATATAGCTATAATAATTTTCCATGCCTGGTTTGTGCTGGGGTTTAAGCTGAAGATGTTGCCTACATCCTGACACTGAGGCCCAGAATTGCACTTCTCTGTTACCTTTATTATACAGACAAAAAAGTGAGGTTTGCAAAGGTCAAAGTTCATATTACCAAGGCTGCACAGTAGGGCCATTAAGAAAGAATTTCTGTTTGTCTAATTCATAAGGACTAAGACACATTTAATTATGTTGCACATAAGTATATACTATTATTCAATTTAAACTCAAGTATGAAGAGAAACAACTGGGAGAGTAAGCAATATTCCCATACATTGTTAGACCATGAGAGGAGGGGTAATATTTTTCACCTTGTCATTTAAAAAATTTATCTTACAGAAAAATGTTATGTTGCTCCAACACAAATTCATACTCATGTGCATGCACACATGTTATACACGTATACACATACACACATGCTCACACATAAACATATACATACATGTATAAATGTACACACAGACACAAGTACATATATGCACATAAAATCACAGACATATACACACGTACATGCATACACTCGTCACATAATATACAGACCCAGACACACATACAGTACACAGATACACAAAGACATACATTCCATCTTTAATACTTCTCAACTGTATTTCTCCCTATTTTAGCAAATAGTTTCATCATCCATTCAAAATGGCAGACAGTTAGGAGATGCCTTGATTCTTCTCTCCCTTCTCCCACCTTTAGCTTATAAGCTTTTCCAGGAAGAAGTTCCCATCTTTGCCGGGTAATAGCCTCTTAGCATTTTCAAGAACATTACAATAATCCTCTGGTCACTATCTTCCCAAGATGGCAGAAAGAAAAAAAAAGCTAT